AACCGCACATGTTTTCAATTATAATTTGTTTTCGAATCTGGCTGGTTTGACAACATCAAAGCTAAACGTCATTTTATAAATCTTTGCCACAGAATGTTTAAACCGTCTTCATTTTTCATTTTTGGGTTTCTTTTTGCAAAAGAAGCAATGTTAGTAACATTCTAATTTTATTAATTAGTTTTTCATACAGTTCATTTTTATCTGTTTTATTAAAAATAATTTTTATTTTAATTTTCACACATTCCAACATTTAAGTTTTCCTTACAATTTTAATATTATCTTTGTGATTAAAATAATTTCTATATTAATTTTTACACAATATCAACATTTTAATCATTATTTTCACATACGATATTATCGTTTTTATTAATACTTTTCATAGAGGTACTTTTATTTATAGAGGTACTTTTATTTATAGAGGTACTTTTATTTATAGAGGTACTTTTTATTTAGTTTATTATGGAGTTTATTAAGTCTGTTTTTAAAACTTAATGTTTTTTGGAAGTTTAACTGGATCTGGTGCAGACTGCCAATTACATTTGGTACAAAAATTGCCAGAGCATCAGAAAATAACTGTCATATTTTCAAATAAGATGGAAAGGATATGTTCATTGACTTTTAGGAGATATCACTCCAGAATTCTGAAGGTTTTGAATTCTGTTCTTGCTGCTTGAGATAGATTTGTTTGCAAAAATGTGTCTGCTTTTGGCAGATATTAGGTCCATGGTTTTCCTGTGATAAACTCTAGAGTATTTTCTGTTTCAATGTGGCAGCGGTGAATCTAGTTTTTATGCCACCTGAAGCGGTCGTTGATATCGTCGTCCCTCTAAAGAACATTCCAAATCTGGACTACGAAATATAAATAAAGAATGATTTACAAGGACGTCCAATTATTTTGTTTTGGAGAAAAATAAGAGCAACAGCAACAAACGTGGTGATTTTAAAAGTTACGTTTTCTGGCCTTTCCTCTGCGTAAAATCTTGAATCACAGAATCAAAATCTATTTCTTCGGCAAGGTCACACTCATCTGAAAGTATTGCCAGATTAGTTAGCTTTCTTTCTTTGACTCATTGCTGACCGAATGTGCAGTTCCTGATTAACTTCAGTTTAGAGAACAATCATTCGCAGCTCGCAATACTAATGGCACGAGTCATAAACGCTCATAGAAGTACGACTATTTTGATAATTAATCACCGAAATTATAGCGTTAAAGTAGAATGAGAGGAAGAAATAGCACAACTAATTTTGCATGTTAAGACGCTTATAGACATGGAGAAGTTCAGGAGGAGACACGAAGAACCAGATCGACAACATAGCAATCGATAAAAATTCAGAAATACAGTTTTACATTGTAAAACATATCAAGCGCCAAACGTGAGAGCGATCACCTTTTAGTCATATCAAAACTTGAGTAAAATTACTGAAATTAAAGAAAATCAAAGCATTCCCCGTATTACAATACTTACAATACAACAGACTCCTAAATGACTCGATTTGCAAAGTTCTATGTTGACAGAGTTAAAAGCAAATAACTTGAACGGAAATGGAAATTTAAAGTGCGGCACATTAAAAGAATCTCTAGTGACATTGGCGAACGAGATCATACCAAGGAAAACGAAAAGAGAAAAAAAGGTGTGGACGACAGATGACATTCTTGACATGATAAAAAAAGACAGCAAACAATGCCAAGGAATGGTATAGATTATGCAACATCAAACGGAGAAATTAGAAGCAAATATTAAAATCTGAAGTAATATCAACACTGGCCAAGGCGAACCGGAACAAAGCAGTAGGTCCAGACTTAAGCGATTTTGGTATTGACAAGATTGCGGAAATAATAAATGAAATATATCATATTGGTGACATACCAGAAGACCTTAGTAGATTCATTTGCACCTGGCTTCTTAAGCCAGGTGCAAATGAAGGCAAACTCCAATGGATAATCAGCTTAATGAGCGACATAACTAAGCTTATCATTCAAATTCGGATGCCAAAACGTATAGAAATATTATAGTGGAAATAGAACAAGAACAGCATGCTCTGGTTAAAGATACTGGGATAAGGAATTCGATATCTAGGCACAGAATGATATCAGAGAGAGCAATACAGATGCAAAAGGATGTATATTCATGTTTCATAGACTCTGCAAAAGCATTTGATAAGGAACTACTTGACAAGGAACTGTTTGAACTGCAAGGGAATCATGATTTATTCGGGAAAAATATTAGAATAATCCAGAATTTATACTCGGAGCAAACCGCTTACCTACAAATAGAAAATGAATTGAGTGAGTATCCAAAAATAGAAAGAAAAAACGGAAAATAAGCATGCGTCATTTCACAGGAATTATTCAACATTTACAGTGAAGCAATCCTGATAGAACTAGAAGTCCTACCAGGATTTATTATTGGTGGGAACAATCTTAACAACATAAGATATGCAGATGACACCATATAGATGGTGGACACAGAAAGAAAACTGCAGGAATACCTAGACAAGGCAGTAAAAGAAAGCGCGAAGAAAGAATTAATCATCAATTGTAAAAAGACAGCATCTATGGTTGTCAGCAAGAAAAAGATCCCAAGATGCGAGCCGCGAATTAGAGATGTCAGAATCGAAGTTCAAATATCTGGGAAGTGTTTTAAAAGAAGACGGAAAATGTGACACCGAAATCCGAAGTAACATTGGAATAGCGATAGATGTCTTTACAAAAGCTAAGCAAAGTATTAAGAAACAGAAAAGAGTGCTGAACTGTTATATAATATCAGTCCTCCTATATGGCAGTGAATACTGGGCAATTTCGTCACAGATGAAGAAGTAAATTGATGTGTGGTTCCACAAAAGAATTTTGAGAATATCATGGACAGGGTATGTAGACAACAGCGACGTTTTAAGGAATATGAAAACAAAAACGATACGCAGGCTCAGAATCAGAAAGTAACAGTTGAAATTTCTTGGACACATAATGAGGAAATAGGTCTTGGAGAATTTGACTCTCACGGGGCATATTGGTGGCAAGATGAACCGAAGCAGAGCAGCGACGAACCTATGTAACGAGTTTGTGTAAATGGATGGTAAAACAGGGATTAGAGTGGGATAGTAAAAAGGTAAACCTTACACAGAGCTACAAAGAACAGGAAATTGTAGAGAGCCATGATCGCCCACGCCTTGAAGGGACACGGTACATAAATTTTTCTACTACGTCTGCAATTTTTTAATGTTATTTTATTTTTTGGCGACTTTTCCTTGGAGGCTGCTGTTTTGATGTTGAGTCTATTCTTGTGGGGTTTCTGTCATGTTTCTGAAATCTTTTCATGATAATTATTTTAATTGTTAAAAGTTGAATATTACAACAGACTTTAGTTACATAAAAATAACAAACGAGGTGTAGACCTTTAAACAGATAGTTGAATATTCTGTTTGGGAAAATTTAAAAAATAATAAGAAATTTTTTTTTCAACAGGTAATTTACGAAATAATTCTTAGGTGAAGAAAGTATTGATGTTAAATTAATAAACGCCTGGGTAGAATGAACGTGGGAAAACAGTTTAAACATCATTAGTCCGTCTATCCAATATAAGTAACTAATGAGAGGGCAAGTTGGTGATGCTGTTGTTAAAAGTGATGAAGAGAGTCTCATTGTGGAAGTACGTGCCCCTCACCCTTCTCCTCCGAAAGAACAATCCCTGGAACAGCCACCAGCAGACTGCTGCTGCATCTTGGGAAGGCCCGGAACAGCCCAGCGTTCGTTCCTCCCTGCTCCTTCCCTCTTTTTCAGAATTTCTTACGCATACATACACCGAAAGAATCATATTTACAAAGTAAGCCAAATAACCGTACACTTGTGTACGGTACACGCATACGTCCACAAAGTCATTACATACACTTAAGACACAACACGTTGATTTCGTATATCACACATATAGACATCGCACATATACACATACATGGTGGCAATTTGGTCTATGTTGGTTCTGTTGGGATCTTCATATGGCTTGTCATCGTTGTTTGTCTCATCATCACAATTATTATCTTCGCTGTTAAGTTCTTCTTGTTTGTGGTCGTCAACAAGATTGACACCACCGCTGCTGATAGCAGGGACCCTGGCGTCATCCTGCTGCTAGCTGCTACCTAGCTTTTGGCCGAAACGGACATAGACAGCAGACACTCCAAGAGGAAGAAAGATCCTCAGACTTTCTCTCTTTCTCTTGTTTTTTTTTTTTTTTCTTTAAGTTCTTCTTATTCTTTGTTTTCGTCACTACAGGTAGTACTACTACAGTAGTACCAACACTTCACTTCTTGGAAGTCAAAAAAAAAAAAAAAAAAAAAAAAGGCAAAAAAAAAAAAAAGGCAAAAAAAAAGGTCCAGTAAAAAAATACATTCACTGGTTTTTCTTCCTCAAGATTTGAAAAACAAAAAAAATAAAATAAATTAAAAAATAAAAAAAGGTAAAAAAAAAACATTGCAAAAAAGAAACGGAAGAAAGGAATTTTTTTACTACTGCTACTACTGCTTCGGTTTTTTTTTTTAAGTTAACGTTTATCTCCTGCGCATTATAATTCCTATTAATCGCTTTTATTCTTATTAATATTATTATAATTACTATTAGTATTATTAGTATTTAACTACTAATTAATTATATTACTAGTCGTAAGTACGGCTACACCGTTTCGTTTAGCCTAGTATTATTGTTTAATGTCGGAGATGGTATCTGGCTTTTGAAGATGCTGATGAAGAAAAGTGAATAAGGATGTTGCTGCTGTTATCGCGACTTCCAAGTGATCATTTTTGTCAGTCAAGTGAAAAGAAAAGTGTCAAGAGAAAGTAAACCGTTGTCATAATTACAAAAACATCACCACGCACACACACTCACACACACACACACACACACACACGCACGCACACACCACACCACACCACACCACACATGTATTTACACTGACAGACAGAGATAGACGCACACAAACATACACCCATTATCTGCAGTAGAGAATCAGCAGATGTGGTACCCATGTAGCTGTAGGTCCTTCACCGGACTGCTGGTCCTTTTTCCTCATCATTCTCTTTCTTCTTCACCTTCTTTGTCATCTTATCCTACATCTCCTTCGTCGGCCGCATCATTCAACAAAGGTGGCTACTACCACATTTTTTACCAACAACAGAGAGAGAAAGGCAATTACAAGAAACACCAGGTTTTAAAAAATAGTAATAATAATTATTATCAACATCGTCATTACTACTACTACCACTGCAACGAAAACAAAAAAAAGAGAAACAACAAAAAAAGCAATCACGTCGTGGGTTCTTTCATCTTCAGTGTTCAATTTGCTGACCACTTCCATCAACCACCACCTCCACCACCATTATCATCATTTTTGACAACACCTCCTCCTCCTCCTCCTCCTCCTCAATGTTGTATTTCGACTCGGATGGTACCGGCAGTTACAACAAATATCTTATTCACCAACACCTTTAATAATAATAATAATAATAATTCTGCCATCTCTGCGAAAACAAGAACGAGTGCGTCGATCATCGTATCTTTCTCTTCTTTTTCTTCTCTTCTTTCTTCTTTTTCTTCTTCACCTTCTGCAACTACAACAACTACCACCTCCGCAACCTTCATCATCAATGTTACTATTGTAAAATCTTTTATTACTTCTCCAAAAGCTAGTACGACTGATTCTTCGACCAAATCTACTAATAATACCAACTCTACAAGTTCAGCAGTAAGAAAAAGAGAAAATAACGAAACCCCGACCACCACCACCACCATCACAACAACAACCAAAGGAAAAAGGGAATCGTTCCTGTTATCTTTTTTCTTTTCCTATTCTTTTGAAACACTTCATTCTTTTCCTTCTTTTTCGTCTTACATTTCTTCTCACTCATCACCTCCCCTTCTCTCTTTCACTCTTGCTTCTCTTTTTTTATTTCTCTCTCTCTTCAACTTGTCTTCTTCTTCCACAGATTTACTCTTTTTCTTCTTAGTCTTCTTAGCGTTCTACAACAACAAGTAGTAGCCGAGGTACTAGTACTACTCGTAGTAGTAGTGTTGGTGTTGTGTGTCCGTGTCCCCGCTGCTCCCCATGTGTGGCGGCACTGTCCGGGTGCTGGAAACACCTTGCCGAGCTGGTGAGGCTCCAACTTCTTCTTCTTCTTCTTCTTCATCTTCATTATCATCGTCGTCGTTTCCCCCCCAGTCGTCGCCGTCGTCGTCCCTTGCTTCCTCATCTGCTTGTTGTACATCTTCTTCAGAACGGGCTTCGGCGTCATCGTCGTTGTTGTCGGAGGAGGAGGAGGAGGAGGGGCACCTGCGCCACCCCCGCCACCGCCACCCCCCTTTCAACAACAACAACCATCACCTAACAACAACAACAACAACAACAACAGCAACAACAACAACAACAACAACACAACTACTACCACCGCCAATATTCGCACCACTACTACTACTACCAACGCTGTTGTATGTCGTGCTTCAAGACCACCCAGTAGCAGTAGTAGGAATAGTACTACTACAACCAATACCAAGACTAATAACCCTGTTGTTATCAGTAGTAGTAGTAGTGGTGGTAGTAGTAGTAGTCGTGCTCCTGTTGCCCTCAGCGCGACCACAGCACCACAACAGTACCAAACAGCAGCAGCAGTACTACAACAATACCAACACCATCAACAGCATCATCACAAACGGCATCAGCCTTTACAACAACTTCTTTTACACCAAGTGGCATTGCTACTACCGCCACTACTACGACAACCAGCACCAACATCACCAACAGCAGCAGCAGCCTCCCTCTCTGTTGCCTCTTGCTTTGCTCCTACCACCACTACTACTGTCACTCCTACCACCACGAGTAGTAGTAGTGTGACTACTACTACTACTACTAGTAGCATGGCTGATCCTCCTCCGGTGTTAGTGTCGGCCAAGCCGACCACGCCGACCAACAGTGCGGTGGATACGCCGTCTTCGGTCGAAAAACAAGATGTGGACAGACTTACGGAGAGCCCGTCCTCCGGAGGAAGTTTGGACAGCTCGGTCGAGCACGGGCACGGCCATTTCTTCATTAAAAAGACCTTCCACAAACCTACCTACTGTCACCACTGTACTGATATGCTGTGGGGACTCATCGGCCAGGGATATGTCTGCGAAGGTAAGGACAAGATCACATCATTCATTGACAGCACACACATATACATGACTAAAAGAAAACCACCTGTTTTGCAATCATATATTCATCATCATAAAAGTGAGACTGTGTCCACACACACACACACACACACACACACACACACGTTTTTGGTATACCTATATAACAAATGAATTGGTAAAGTTGTATAATTTAACAAGGTATCTTCATCATTCATCCCATTTATCACCTACACTCTTCTTCGACTATAAGAAGAAGAAAAAAGAATTCTAAGTTGAGCAATTTTCTTGGGTCCTACTTTCTTTACAACACATCATTCTTATCACCTGTCTTTTTCCCCTTTGTCATTTGACCTCTCAACGTTACACGCCTAAACTTAAAAAACCCCAAAAAACCTTAATGAATGTTCATTTCCTCACTCACTGATGCTATCTTCCGTTCTTTTTCTGTTTAAAAACATATTCTTAATTGTAGAGATTAAGCAGGCCCCTGATATACAGCATGCTTTCTCTATGCAATCGATATGCATTTTTAGAAAAGACTAATCAACTTTGAGAGCGTATTTTGTGCTACGGATGACCAACGGTGTCATCATGTGTTAAGAAGTTAGGATGTAATGAGCCATACTGTTCATTCCTCCCCAACCATAGATTGAAACAACTGCCAAAAATAATAAACAAATACTCGTTATCAATCAATCTCAGAGAAAAGAAAAAATATATTTATTCTAATTAATTGTAAAGATCACAAATCTTTATTGGTTTATTTTTATTTTTTAGATTTTACATTTTTACCGAAAAAGTGTACGACTTTTTCTTTCGGAAATAATAAAATGAGAAAAAGAAACAAGGAAACATTGATATTTCTATTCTTGATTATTTCTCGGCTTTTTTAGTTTAACATTTTCACATACACCTTTTTTTTTAGTTTTTTCTTTCGTCTTCTTCGTTATTTCTTCTTCCTGATCTCAGCAAACCGATGCTGATGATAATTTAACACACCCTACCAATTCTACTAAATGACTGATGTGTTGTTAGCAAGATATGGAACCAAGCAGTTCTTGTGTCGCTACTTCGACTAAAAAATACGACCCAAGGTAGTATAAAAAAAACAAAAAAACTAAAAGTGTAAGTACTAAAAAGTAAACGGTTGTATCGACGATTAGAACATTTTCTATGGTTGCGATGAAAGGAAAATACTTTCCCTCTCTTTCTTGAGGCTTTTTCTTCCTTGACCTTATCGAGCTACTGTTTCGACAAGTCTTTCAACAATTTCGAACTACCTGTTTTAATGGGGAATGTGTGTGTGTGTGTGTGTGGTTTGCTTTCAAGTTAAAATCTATGATGATACTTGGAGGAGGAGGGGGAGGAAGACTGTTGCTGCAGCTATTGTTGTTGTTTTCTTTAGGTAACAACAACAACATTTTCTTCGGCAGCTTTTCTTCTTCCTTCATTTATCCTGTGTGTCTGTAGACCTTGAGTATGTTGTAGTCCGTTCTCTTCAGGCTGACCTCACTCAATCAATCAATACATATGTTGACATCAGACTTGTAAAATCCATTTGTTCCAAAGAGGTAAACATTAACATGATAGGAAATAATAATAAAAAAAAAAAGATTCAATTGGTGTACTCTACTGACAAGAAGACTTGTGATATCTAACCTCCACCTCCCCTTTTTTACGTATCATCGCCACCTCTGCTTGTTGTGTAAAAAAGTACTGCTACAGCTACTATCATCATCATCATCAGCATCAGTTAGAGAACATCGCCGGCTTTCTCATCTATCTTAACATCATCACCTTTTAATATTTTTCTCCTTCAACTCATTCTATTTACTGCACGGCTTTTAACCTTACAACTCCAATAATACAAATGATTGATGATGATGGTGATGATTGTTGTTGCTGCTCATGGTGATGATGATCATCATACCTTCTTTGGATGTTCTTCGCTTTGGCCCCTTCTTAACGTTGTTAAATATTCACTCCAAATAAAATTACTTTTTTGTTGTTTTTATTTTTCAATCGTCTTTTTCTTTTTCAAGTTACAAATTTACTTCACCTTTTATTTTTTTATTTTTATTTTATTTTAATTTGTGTCAAATTCTTAAAAGCGCTAAAACAACAATCTGTCTTTTTAAATCTTTATCAATTCCACCAAACGAAATTCCCCGACCAAAATCTTTTTTAATTTTCAGGAAATAAAATAAAAAACGGATCATGTTTAGTCGACCTGTTCATGAATTGATTCTCTTTTTCTTTTTCTTTTTTTTTTGTAAATCTTTAAAATAATCCCCGATTTTACGGCCACTTTTTTTTACTTACATCGATTTATTTCTGTTTTCTCATTTTTTGTCCCTGTCTTCAATTTTCCATAACGATTTCTAAAGTTTATTATTCCAAAAATAAAAAAAAAGAATAGCATTGTTTGTTGTTTTTTTTTTGTTGTTGTTGTTTTTCTTATTTTTTTAAATAAATATGAATGTCCCTAGAATGAAATAAGTTTTTCTTTTTGTTTGTTACAATAAATAATAAATTAAATGTTGTCGTCGATCGTCCGTTCACTTGCTGACGACTGATTATCTGGTCGCCTCCCGTCGCCCGTCCGCCCGATTTCTTCGCTTTATTTTTTCTTCGCATCATCATCGTTTCTCTCTTTCTCTGTCCATGGCGATGTCCATAATGGAATGAGAGAGAGCAACAACAAACATCTTTTCTCTCTCTCTCTCTCTCTCTCTCTCTCTCCCTGACGTCTTTTTAGCTTTTTTATTTCCAAACACAATTATTCACCCTTCTTCTTCCTCCTTTTTAACACCTGATCAATTTTCTAACTTGTCTGTCTAGATTACATTTACCGTCATCTTCATTTGCCTTTAAGGAAGTATTTATTTTTAAATTCTTCGACTTGTAAATCTCCTCTTTTATGAAGGAAGATGTTTTTCGTCTCATCTGTAGTTTCCTTCTTTTCTGTACACATTACGAATTAAAAAAAAACATAGTCTTTTAAATATTTTTCGAAATATGACGACGACAATCACTATTGTTGGCAGTGACTAGTGTCTCTTTCCAGCCTTTCATCATTTCTGTTAGTAATTCTTACACAGTAGTAGCATGACCAATTGTCGGTAGGTGTTTATTCCGTATATAACAATGTAGGTAGGTCTCATCCTCAGTGACTAGGAAGGAGAGAAAAGAGATAGTCATAGTTATATAAAATGACAACTAAACTAACTACTAACTAAAACTACTAATATTTCTACGTGATGTCGTCGTTACCGCCTTTGAAGAGTGAGGCTGATGGTCGCCACCACAGTCCACCCAAACCTGTGACTGACTGGCCTTCATCAGCCAACATCTTCCCCACTGCCACCGTTGTTGTTATTATCATCATCAATATTAGTTGTTTTGTTATAGAATAAATTGGATTTCTTGGACTCTTTGCTTTTTCTTCGTGTCCATCGTCATGCACAAACAACCACCTTCTTCTTCTTCTTCTTCTTCTGCCACCTGTCTGTGTTTAATTGCCAGTGTCATTCATCTTCTTTCTAAATACCAAGACACACGCTATGAATACCATTTTAGTATTTTCCTTTTTAAGTTTTTAGTATTATTAGTTAATTAGAAGATTTTACTTTTAAAATCTTGATTACGAAAAATTTTCAACTTTTTTATTCCAAACGTTTTTTTGTTTCATTTTCACATCGCTTTCTGTTTCTTTTTCTTTTATTGCGTCTAAATTTCATAATCTGATACATTATCTTTGAATTTAAAAGATAGCCACAGTTTTGGCTATTTTAAAACCTGCTAATAATTGTATTGAATAAAGTAATTATTAATGTTTACTCTTCTTACCATTCTTGAACCAATTGATTTTAGGCAACAGATCTTTTTTCTTCAAATGATTTTAACCGTCGTATTTCCTCTAAAAAAAATTAATAATTTTACTTTTCTTGTTCATGTGATACGTGTTTGAAAGTAAAAAGGATATTTCGACATAGCAGTGAGCATTTCGTTTGTGTTTCCTCTAAAACATCTTTAAAAATAAATTATATAATTTTCAAATTATGCAAGAAACGTTAAGAAATGATGTTATTCAACGTTACGTAATAAATTTGATATCTTTTCGTTATTGAAACATTAAAACAATTTCGTTGCTTAATGTTTGGTTGATTCGTTTCTTTTCTATTTAAAAATATAATATTTAATATATCATCACTATGTCCATCTTGTAATTTGAACAGAAAGCGATCAGTTTTTTCTTTCAGCCCGCATCCTCCGTATTACATCGTTGTCATCCATTTGATAATAATTCTCTTAAGTTTTTATTTTACCAATATTATTATTGAAATCGAATTATTGTCATTTTGAAAACAAGAAGGCAGACCCTGTTTGATTCAGCAGATCTTTTCATAACCTAACCACCTGTTTTATCTTCTGAGGAAGAAGAAGAAGAATATCCTTCACTTTGCGAATAATGAACAAGCCAAGAAGAATAGTCATATCAGTAGTTCTTTCTTTCTCATCATCATCAGCTTTCATTTCTCCTTCTCTGCAGTGGAAAATATTAATTTTTATGGAACTAAAACTGATATTTTTTTCATTCGCCGTTCTTTTATTAAAATATTCACTGTCTTTAAAATAAAAAAACTTCAAAAAGATTCTTTTAAGATTGAAAATTGCTACTAGAAGTTTTCAATTGGCATAAATTGTAAATTTAGATTTTTCTTTTTTGCCTTTTTTTTTTTTTTTTTTTTTTTTAACAACCACTGGCAAATTTTGTTATCCATAATCAGAATCTAGATAAAAAATAGTTTATTCGAAGAGGAAATTCATTCATTCATTTTTCTTTTGTGATGATGCTACTTACTATATTTTGATTTTTTTTCTTCCTTCACCCAACCAGAATTGCTCAACTCTGACTCAAAATGCAATTTCTCATATTTAATTTCCTCATAGTTTGTTTTTTTTTAAATTTCTTTTCTTTTTTTTAATTATCTTTTTGCT